ATTACATTGATATAACCTTACATCACAAGTTATTAGCATATCTGATAAGTGGCTAGCAGTAGAATCCAGAGCATGCTTTCCGTTCAATTTGGAGGATAAGGCTTTATCGAGGTGATTCTACCGAGATACACACAGGGTAACGGAGACTGATTAATCGCTGTCCTGAATATCAAAAATGACAAAGTTCAAACTGTCATTATTACATGGTAGTTATTTCGTCTAAAGGTTTTGGACTAACGCTCCATTTGAGGTAAGCTTCCAGTGATTCTCTGGTTAATGTCAGTCGGTGAAGATAAAAAGAAATAATTTTGTATTGTACAATCCCCAGAAAAACATAATACGAAAAATAACTAATCAAAGTTAGCGAAGAAAGCAGCGACACAAAAAACCCAGTTATTGAAAGTAAACAATAATATTGTTTGTAAACAGCACACCATTATAATCAGTTGATAATATTTACAGTTAAGACCATGGATTTCATTTGTAAAATACTTTTTCAATAAGAACTAACTAATGATATCAAAATATATAGAAAAAACAAATGTCTTCAAATACATTGTGCTTTGATCTCGTCATATATATATTCTTCGACAACATATTGCTAAAAAACATATACTCTGAACTTCTTGGTTTTTATTAGTTGTCTATTTAAATTCGGTCTGTGATTTATGGCATCTTCGAATTGAAGAGTCTCCATAGGTTTTTTTCATAACAACGAAGATTAAATGTCAATGTTTAGAAAAGTAATCACTAAAATAAGCTGGAAATAATTCACAACTGGTTAATCACTGATAGCCACCAATGTCATATTTGTTCAGTTCCTTAGCGCTGACCGAATTCCATCGATCCAGTTTCAGTGTTATCACTTGTCTGAATAACTTCAAATCTCCTGTTGATTGTAAATGACAGAAAACCATAAACTTTGGCTTCATTTTGAGTAAGGCTAAATGACATAATTTGAATCTTACGGCGAGCATCAGTCTCTTTAAGTTAACAAGATCATCTAACTGATGAGTGATAACTATCACGAAACCTAGGTTCAGAAATTCGTCTTAACTACCTTTATTCACCTAACATTTCAAATGATTATTATTCAGTGTTGTTAGAGAAAGATTGTTTTCCTTTCTTAAAATAAATTAGATAATGTAAATTACTTGTTTTGATAGTGGAGGCGGGAAAAACTGGAAATAACGAATTCAACTCAAGTTCTTTATTTGATAAAAAGAAAATTGTTTAGATGTTACGTCAAAAATCAATAATGCAGATTTATTATTTTGTAAAGTGTTTTTCACAAATCTATCATTATTTTAAAGATTTACAATGATTTGCGTCAAAAAATATAATTGCCACTATGAAATACACAAACTTCTAATGTTCATCTGTCTCAATAAAAAACATCATACACTTAGCTAACCAAACAATAAAGGCCCTCAAAATTATTTTGAAATTCATACAATTTCTTTGAAAAAATCAAATTGAAAACATACTTTTAACATTGAATAACTAAATAGTGCTCAAAGTTGGGCACATTTATCAATATTATCGCTGAGAATGTCAAAAAAAATCATAAAACCAAAGGTTCTAGATTCGATCTCTGATGGGTCATGAATGCTCATTGTTAAGGATTCCCGTACTAAAACGAAACTGATGTTCAGTGTTTCTCGGTTTTCAACGATCTTCTAACTGACATCAGTCCGTGATGTAATCCATAAAAATCATTTGTTTAGTTAATTTTGAGATTAAAATTCTTACTTTATAAAGCCAAAGTTTAATTACAATCCATTTTGTTCCTTCTCTCTTGATTGATCGTTTTATTTCGTTTCAATATGGTGTTTTGTACTCTATTTCTCAAGGTCAGTCGCCAGACGTTTACCAAAAATACTATTTATTACCATAGTATATTCTTGAAATGTCGAAATATTCTTTTTCAAAAGACTGACCTATATTTACTTTATGTTTCTGATATTACTCAATGGTTGAAATATAGTATACTAAGCATGTAAGCATCGTTATTTAAGCATTCGATTTTTATCAAGTTATGTATAGAATTTAACATAATTATTCAGTTTTTATTTTAAATTAAAAAATTTTACACTTACATTTCAAACAGACAGACTGATGAAATAGCTGTTAACTGAAGGAATTAATTAATCACTTATGTAATAATAAAGACTGTGGTTAAATGTTTAATAATCCTATAGAGAAAATTAAGTTCTTTTATAGTACGTTTTAATAGCCCATCATGTGTATTTTTTATTATGACCAATACATAACAGAATAACGCATACCATAACTATCATTAACCAGAACACGCATTTCATCCTGTCTGGGACTCGCCAGCTGGATGTATCTGAATCTCAGAGTTGATATTCTCTCTGGGACTCAAACTCAGTATCGTTTGCTTCAAACGTCATTGCGTTATCCACTCACCTACTTAGTCTTGATACCTACTAGCTTGTGCAATGGGGTAAAGTTATAATTCATCATTGCATTGATTGTTTGAAACTTCTCATTGATGTTTAGAACTGAAATTAATCAGTCTCTTATTGGCATATGTGCATCCTGTACAGATTGCCTTGATATTGTCACAAGTCACAAACATTATAAGTAAAGATGGATGATGTCCATCAATGGAATCCAGAATGCACGTTCCATCCTGTTTGAAACTCATCAACTAGATATGCCTGCAATATCGATTCAATTCGCACAAGATGCACACGCGCCAATAACAGACCGATCAATTATAGCCCTAAACATCAATGGAAAAATTCAAACAACAAATACAAAAATAAATTACAATTATCACTATTACTATTATTACGGATGTTTTAATTATTCAACTAATTTAATGATAAAACGTTTGCTTCCGTAAACTAAATAAGATTGATAATAATTCATAGTGTCATAAAATTTTTCTGTTTGTTTGTTTTCTCCTTTCAATAATGATTGTGAAAGAAACAGAAAATAGGTGAATCCAATTACCCTAATGAGATATTTTATCATGAGTAACTATAACATGATAAAATATGCTAAAAATCAAATATCTAAATCAATTTGTAAATATTAGGTTAACAAAGAGATTTATAATGTAACCTTAGACATTATACATAGAATAATTTGTCAATAGTCACTATTTAGTAGTTTTGATGAAAAAAACAACAACTGATCGATATAAAACATATTAGTTTAACTAAAATTTGTTAGACAAATATCTAAATAAACAATCTTTTTTAGAGAAAAAGAGTCAGTAAATAAAAACAAAGATAAACTTAAAATACTTTATTACGTAGTAACTGAATATTACTTTTTTATCATACAGCCAGAGGGTGGTGATCAAAAAATAATTCATTTAATAATTTAGCTAATAAACTGGAAACAATAAACAATTCTTAGATAAGTGAATTTATTACATTGAGAGGGGAAAAAACGAAAATTTTGGAACGAGTCACACTAATATGATGAAAATTAATGATAGTTTTGCATGTTGATGATGATTTCAGTATATTGTTACAAAATTTAAAAAAAACAATGGTTCACTTTGTATGTAGTTGGGTCAAGTCATATAAAAAAGTATGTATTTATCATAAATAAAAATAAGTGATTAGCACTAGTGGGGTAATTTACGATAGACTGATCATCGAGCGAATGATCAATAACATGTATGTCAATCATTTCTTAGTGGTAATCAAATTTTAACTACCAAGTCCTAATGTGGCCACTAGTTTAAGTGATTCGACACTGTGTGTATTATTTTGAAATGTAAGGTGGTGGTAAGAGATAATTTACAGAAAATCCTGTCTCTAGGTCTTACACTAATTGACACTCATCGACATGATGTACCTGTATATTTGAAGGAATCTATGCCCTCTGGAAAATTTGATACCATATCGCCCAAATAGCACGAAAACTAGGTCTAGGATTTTCTGCTGACTAACTTTAACTACCACCTTACTAATTAAGTTATTTTAGTGATATGTTTTCTGAACTAAATGGATAAATTACGAAACTTCTATCGATGTTCAGGACAACATCGTCATGAACTACTACATGTAAAAATAATCATTTTATTAAACAATTTCGTCTTCTAATAGAGTTCATTTTTAAGCCTTAGGATACTTAGTATGGCATGAGTTAAGTGATTATATATATATATATATATATATATATATATATATATATATATATATATCAGAACATGAAAAATAGTAAAAACAGTATCTTGAAATACACATTTCCGTAATGTACATTATCAAAATCGTGTTAAATAAAACTGAATTTCATTAGAAGAAAAACAATATTAGGAATCAGTTCATAATACGTGGCAGAATTAAACGATAAACAGTTGTATCAGTATATTTTAACTCCACAAAACAAAATTCAAGATGTTATCTAGGAATAATTGCTCCAGATAATCAAAAGGAAATATGACTTAATATTGAAGACAATAATGATCCTTAAACAGAATTTCTTATCCGCCAGTTTCAAAAATGAATTTATCAAAACTTTTCTGAAATTGATCTTAACTAACATCAGATTTTCCTTATATGTGTTATCTGATTCACTTGAATTTTCCACAGTTATGTTATTTCTTCATATGATTTTTGAAGTCTGCATCGTACAAAAGTTTCGAGTTTAGACAATATTAATAATTTTTAACTGTTATCATTTTCACTATACTTATTGGATTATTAGTCCTATTTATTTCATACAAAATGTAACGGCTTGAAATAATTCACCAATGCACTAGATTGAACACTAACGAAATAAATAAATCAAATATTATTTGATATACACACAATGCTTATATATATACTGAAAAAGAGCCATAGTTCAAATACGCCTAAATATTCGTTCCCACTGGGTCTGAAATGCAGCACTCATCATTTCGAACATGAAAGACTTTATAAACAAGACACTCGAGTTAAAACAGCCAATTTTTAATAAATAGCATTTGTAAATCAACGATATAGCATATATGTATAACTGTTATGTAAACTTACTGTTTCCTAAGCATAAAGTGTCAGGTAAATAACACATACGTGCCTATATATATATATATATATAACATTAGGATACAAATCATTTTGTTCACCTCATCAATGTTTTCATATAATTTCATTCGACAGATATAAGGAGAAGCAATCATGAAATATTTATTGTGTGAATCAATATGCAATTCTTAATGATAGATAGCTTCGTAGTTAAGCCGTTCAACTTTAAACTATTAGATTCCAGTTTTGAACCTTGAATTTTATTTATTTCGATATTGGAAACCGATCAGTAGTAGTACTAGTGTGGTGCGAGCTATTTATATCCACATAGGTAGTATATAACAATAGTCAGGAACATAAAGTATTTTAGTAGAAGATCGAGAAGGAGAGAGCGGGAACGGAAAGCAATTGATATTAAAATGCAGGAACAATGAAATCGGCGACGATGGACTGTTATTTCCGAAGAAACAGTCAATTTTGAGACAACTGATTGGGATTTTGCAAATTAAGTATTTATTGTATGGTTTTCAGATTTTAGTGAGATGCTCTGTAATTTAGTGTTCAAAGATATTCGGTTGTCCCCACTCGTGTTCTTGTTCACAACAGTAGTAGTAGCATTATTGTACTTTACATCATAGGCAAGAATTAAATCTTATCCAAGTTTGACTTGAATAAGTGAGTGAGTGACCTACAACAGATCAAATCTTTCATGCATTAATGCTTTGAACGATATTTAATTATACTTAGATTTATTATTTCTTAAATAACCATGTCAGTATACTGAGAAAAAACTTACACTATTAGCCAACTGGCTTGTCTTTTGGGCAGTCGTTCATTTGAGAGCCTATTTCAATAGTTCAACATCGTAAGGAATTATCAGTCGAATACTTTTATTATTTCTTACAACTCATCGATCAACATTGCCTTCATTATCTAATCATCACCGCTAAAACGTGTATCATTATAATACACGCTAAATAATACTCCATAACTAGAACAGAATATATAATAAATCATTGTTGATAACATACGTCAATAAGAAATAAGGTTAAAGTAAAAATCATTTCAAGAAATGTTACAGTAATCCAAAGCAAAATAATATTCAAAAGTTCAACTATTAAACAATAAGTTAATCTTATTTCAAAAATGTATATGTTATCAGTTGGACTAGACAATTTGGTATGTTCGCATAATGAATAGTCTAATATCATATATAATTCAGCCTTTATTTCAATGGATAATTATTAATATTATTATTAAACAAACAGTAAGATAATTGCCATATATTTTCTCTTTTAATAAAACTACAAAGTGTATTTACCGAAAATTTCATTAGAAATTTTATAAGTTGTAAAGATAACTAAATTACGAATAAGATAGTTGTTCACCAGTGGTCAAATAAAAAAAATGAGAATCGTACTACATTACAAATTTTAAAATGGAAACGACTATATTCCAATCCAAGTAACTTGATAATAAAGTATTAAGATTAATACCCAGAATGAATTACCGATATGAATTTATAAAAAGTCTCAAGATATTTGGTCAGTATTCTCTAGTTTACTACAACCGTCCATCTTAAGGTTCGTTTTTAGTAAATATTCACATTAATAAATGATAAAATCCGAAAGATAGCAGAAAAATTACTTTTTCACGTACATTTATGTACATAGAATTGCATTCCTAACAAAAATAAACAATAAATGTTTGATCTAATAAGCCCTATACCAATAATTTAATTAAATATATTTTCATTTGATTTTGTATTACTTGTAAACTAAGGAAGTTGCTGAATATTTTGTCTTAACCAATCTAATAATAATAGTTATTATTACTACTACTACTGTAGTGAAGGAGAACACAGTTGGGGACAACCGAATGTATTTAGCACAAAATTACAGGGTTACTTGGTAAAATAGAAAAATAATATAGCAAATCGTTTATTTGCAAATATCAATCCATCATATCAACCTGAACTGTTCCTGTTACAAACGTCAATCCATTGTCTCACATTTCATTGTTCATGCATTTCCATACTAACTGCCTTCTATTCCCGCTCTTCCTTTATTGATCTTCCCCATCTTCTGCTGCCGGACATTACGTTTTTAACTCGCACCATATACCACTTATATCAATATAAGTAGCACGCGCTATACTACTACTACTAGTAGTAGTAGTAGTAGTAGTAATATTGACAAGGTTTAACACGATAACTTTAAATAAACTAAGCATCAGTTAGATTATTTATAATAATAAAATTATGTTACGTTTAGAATATTCCAGTGAGTAGAAAGTTGAATTCTTGATACTTCATGACTTAGTAAAAGTAGCGCCCGGCTAGCTCAGTCGGTAGAGCATTAGACTCTTAATCTCAGGGTCGTGGGTTCGAGCCACACGTCGGGCGTCGTCTGGTGAGGCAGTTCACCGTGTCTGCCGTGTCGCCGACTTTTGGCTCAGTGGTCTAATGGTTAAGTGCTCGCGCGCGAAGCCAGTAGGTCCTGGGTTTGAGCGCCGGGTGGTGCGGGGTCGTGGATGCGCACTGCTGACCCGACCGTTGTTGCTACCTTGACGTGGTGGTCGGGCTTGCCTATCGTGATGAAGCAACCGAGCTATACTGGCTGGAACAACCGTTCCTCAAGGTCCTACCATGTCAGACAGGTCGGTTGAAGAGCGGTAAGACTAAAAGCAACAAACCCAAGGTCCGAAGGCGAAGTCGTACTGCTGACTGTACAGAGGTGTGACAGCAGTAAGGTGTTTCCTTCAGACAACCAGCATGACAGCGATGCTGCCTTCCCACAAGGAGGGGTGGGGTTAGAAAAGGTCGACCCTAAAAATGCACACCTCACCTTACCTCACGGATTTCCGTCTCCGGCGGTAAGGCCCTTTGAAGAACGGAGCTAACACGTCACAAACCTCTCACGAAAAGGCCGTGCGCGACCGGCCTCAAGCAGTTGTCCCTTGGGCACTGCGGTCACGCTCTCAGGTCACTAAGACCACCTCTAATCCAATTTCCTTTTCAGGTACCTAAAGAAAAACCCTTCCACGGTGTGGGCAACCGGGAAGTGATAACCGCCCTCATACTTCTAACAGCACTCAAGACCACTGTATTCATAATCAACCTCCTCTTCAATTCCTATTATTCCTCCTACATCGACTTTCAACTCTATATTTCCTCTCTCGGCTTCCACCTCAAGTGTCACCATAGCCAACGATTCTAGTGCGCAAAACACTGTCCCAGGTCTACTGAAACCTCGCTCCAAACTACACATTGGAGCCTTCAACGTACGCACCCTATGTCAAATCGGTCAGCAGGCTTCCTTGGCTAAAACCCTAGAGTCTCTTTCCATTGATGTATGCTGTGTCTCCGAAACACGCATACAGGATTCCAGTGTGGTCATTCACTTGACCTCACCTCGGCAAACGGAGAGCCAACGAGATACACCCTTCGTGTGTCTGGTGACCCGATGGCAAGTTCTCGTGGACTGGCAGGTGTAGGCATAGCACTAAGCATGAGGGCCGAACAAGCACTGCTAGAGTGGATCCCCGTCAACAGTCGTCTATGTGCTGTTCGGCTGAACGGCTACGTAAGAACTCGGAAGGATAGGGACACACGTCGTTGCCTTTTTGTCGTTTCTGCCTACGCTCCCACTGACTGCAGCTCAGATGAAGTGAAAGATGAATTTTACAGAAAGCTGTCCGAACTTCTTCAGAAAGCTAAACGCTCAGACATAGTACTCGTAGCAGGTGATTTTAATGCTCAGATAGGCAGTTTAAACCAAACAGAAAGGCATTTAGGTGGATATTTTAGTATTCCGACACAGCGAACAGATAATGGTGATCGTCTGCTGCAGCTATGCTCAGACAATCGTTTATTTTTAGCAAACACAAATTTTAAGCATAAGGAGAGACATCGTCTAACATGGCGACCCCCTACACCAAACCAACGATGGACTCAAATAGACCATATTGCCATCAGTCATCGTTGGAGAGGGTCGGTAGAAGATTGTCGCTCATTCTGGAGTACCTGCTTGGACTCCGACCATGCCCTAATACGGGCACGCATCTGCTTGCGCCTCACTGGACGCAAAAAAGCCACATTAAAAAGACCCATTAGAACTGAGTTGAGTAACGAGAAAACCAAAAGTAGGTTCCAGGAACAACTGAGGTCACACTTAGGTAGTTGTGAAGACGAGGCTGACCCAGATGTTGCTTGGAAGGGCATACAATCAGCTGTGGAAACAGCAGTGACATCTATTAGTGACTTAAACCACAGAGTTACAAGGAACCAGTGGATTTCTTCAAGGTCTGTCACACTGATGGATTCTCGCAAACTCGTCCCATCAGGTTCTGAACATGATGAAGAGCGTAAACAAATCAGATCTAGGTTAAGAAAAAGTCTAAGGAACGACCGTGAGCAGTGGTGGGCAACGAAAGCAAAAGAGATGGAAAAGGCGGCGACTATAGGGAACACAAGACAGCTTTACAGACTAATAAAAGAAACTGGAATTAATAAGTCAAGTGTAAGTGAGATTATTTCGGAAAAAGGCGATACTCTCATCTGCTCCCAGTCCAGACGTTTAGAACGATGGGCGGAACATTTTAGAGAACAGTTCAGCTGGCCTTCAGCTACTCTACAACTACCCTCCATTCCCAGACAAAGTGAATGGAACATTGAAGTAGGTCCCCCAACTCTTGCTGAAGTTCAAAAGGCTATAGTTAATCTGAAACGAGGAAGGGCAGCTGGTCCAGATGGATTGGCTCCAGAGGTCTTTAAGGATGGTGGTCCAATTTTAGCGATTAGGTTGACTAATATTTTAGCTAAGATCTGGGAATTAGACGTTATCCCATCTGACTGGTCGCAATCACTTATCGTCCCAATATATAAGAAAGGGTCAAAATCATCCTGTGACAACCACAGAGGGATTAGTTTAACAAACATAGTATCTAAAATACTGGCCTCGATAATTATCAAACGCCTAACTAAGACTCGTGAACTACAAACACGAGAGAACCAAGCTGGCTTTAGACCTGGTCGTGGCTGCATCGACCACATATTCACCATTCGTCAGGTTCTAGAACACAGGCATACCTATCGGCGTCCGACAATGGTGGTCTTTCTTGACTTAAAAGCAGCATTTGACTCTGTAGACCGCGAGACTCTGTGGCAGTGTCTGTCATTGAAAGGCGTACCTCAGAAGTACATAAACCTTGTGAAGGCTCTTTACTCGAACACTACTAGTCGAGTCAGAGCTTATGGCGAACTGTCATCTACCTTTGCAACCTCAAGTGGTGTCCGTCAAGGATGTCCACTTTCCCATTTTTGTTTAACTTCATCATAGACCTATGATGGAAATAACAAATCTCGTCGACTGAGTTCTCGGGTATTGATCTCCTTCCAGGAGGTCCACTTATCGACTTAGAATACGCAGATGATATAGTCCTGTTTGGTGAAGACGCTGACAAAATGCAGAGTCTTCTGGTAGCACTAAGCAACAATGCCAGAATGTTTGGGATGCGCTTCTCTCCATCTAAATGCAAGTTGTTGCTTCAGGACTGGTCTGCATCAACACTTGAACTAAGGATAGGGAGTGAAGTAGTCGAACGCGTTGACAACTTCACTTATCTTGGAAGTCTGACCAGCCCTAATGGGTTGGTATCGGACGAAATCTCAGCACGGATTCGTAAAGC